TATCGATAAATTAGATGAAGAGAATATTTCAATATTATCTAGAAACATGAAACTAAGCACAATGGTGGGTATAATGCCTTTTAATTAAAGTGAATAAAAATATCGAGTTATAACAATTATGTTGATTTTCATCTTATGAGCTATCCTATGGTAAATTATTAATACAGCTCTCTAAACCTCTTAATAATTTAAATCTATGATTAGCATTGCCTACAATTTAGATCTTTTTCAATGAGAAAAGCCGTAGTAGTAATTTGTTTCAGTACTTAGCTAGCTAAATATTATTTGCCTTATGAAAAACAAAAATATTTTAATAATACGTTAAATGTTCTATTTAAAATATTGATAAGTCAGATGTAAAAAATACAATGTGAAAACTAAGCACAATGATATAAGTTAATTATTTTAATGAAAGAGAATAAAAATAATAAGTAATAGAAATTGTCGATTTTCTTCTTATGGGATCTCCCATGGGAAATTGTTAATACGGCTCTCTAAATCTCTCAATAATTTGTATCTGTGATTAGCAGTGCCTGCAATTTAATCCTCCTTCAATGAGAAAAGCCAGTATTAATAATTTGTTTCTGTACTTAGCAATAACTAAACATTAAGCCCTTATGAAAAAATACATACTATTAATTGCCCGTACTAAGCAATAGCTTGCCGTGTAGTCACGACATAGAATAGGCCACCCCTTACATTCCTGAGGGTGTCGTAAGAGGCGATTAAGGGAGGGCGAAGGATGGGTAACAGTTTCCCTCTTAATACATATCCAAAACCTAGCTGCGATTGTCAATCCGTCTGCCAAACGTGGGAACTATTGGCAAAATCCTTCAAAGAGGAGGCTTATGTTCAGCAGTAAACATTTAAAGGTTGATATTGTGACTAAGCAATAGCTAATATACGCGCGTTAATTCCAAATTAAGGGATAAAGGTTAAGCAATAAAATACAAGTTGCATATGAAGGAAAATATACATACAAAAAAATTCATCGTGTCGTAAAGAGGGATAATATCGTCCCTCTGTTGCGGAATTGGGACTGTTTTGTCGTAATTACAACCGGCAATGGTGTGAGGGCACGCAGCCTTAGTACTGCGCTCTCTAAAGAGTGCTATGTATAAAAAAAAAGAAACTGTATGCAGAAGGCATTGTCATCGTGGTAGATGCGAATACTTAGTATAAATTTACACAAATTTTATTGCAATTAAAAGTTCTTACCTTAAGTCTTTTGGACTTAATTTTGATGCACTTGTTTGATCTTCACTGAAACTTTTAACGTGACAGAATTAAACTTTATTCATTTTGTAATTGAATTATTATTTTAGTATTTTGTAATTTTATAATTAATTTTTAATTGTTCATCAAAATGATAAATATAATTGTATTGTATTTGTTTAATATAGTAAATCTGTAAGGAAAATATAACATATTATATTATTAAGATAATAATATAAATGTAACAAAGTGCTATAAGCCATTTAATTTAGTAAGGAAATAGTTTATCACGTTTCCACAATAATATTTTTTCACGGTCCTAACTTGGAATTTCCAGTTGCCATAACTTACGTGCTATAGCCATTAAGCTAATACGTACTATGGCGAGAAATAAATTTTATGTCTTTGTATTATTTATTTGGTTTTATCATATGAATAAATACCTAGTGTTCCTAATTTTTATAGTTTTAATTCGAATTTTTATTGAAAGAGTACATGATTAGACCTCATTTTTTCAGAAATCATTGTAGTTTTCTAGGTTAAATAGAAAACGAATTTATTTTTGTTTTACTTGATTTAGAGGCCTCTACTTGGAACCTAAATATAATAACATTATTATTAATGTAAATTATAATTAAGAAAATACCTACAATATTAAAGTTTAAATCCGCAATTTCAGCACAAGACTTTGATAGTTTGTTTAATATGAACAATGAAATATTTACGTTATTTTATATTATAATATTACTATAAAATAATTCGATAGAGAGGTAAAATAATACCTAGCACGTGAATGGTTCTCCAAAGTCACAAAAAAAATTCTATCTAATTAACTAAATAATTATACAACTCTACAAAATTTTATTTAATCTAAATTGATATTATATTTTGCTATAGAATAAATTAAAATTAAAAAAAAATTTGGTAAATCACTCAACTAAACAGCCGAGTAACGAATGGCTAGTGAGAGTAGTAAGAAGATTTACGTTACATCTGCGTTTAAGTTTAGCCTCGACTAGTTTAGATAGAAATCTGAGTATACGAAATCATTCACTAGAAACGTATCTAGGTTTTTAATACAAATTATTAATGTAAACATTATTGCAGTTGTAACGTAAATCTTTACACAACGCATACAGCTACCCTGAACGGTCATTGTTAGTAACTCAAATATTGTTCAAAGTGCTTAATGCGAGTTGTACAAAAATTTACGTTACTTGCGTTAACATTTACAATTTTAAAAGAAAGTTTTAAACTTAAACAATATAAATATTCTCAGGAATCAAACTGAATTGGTCCATATATATCCTGCATAATTCCTCATTCTAATTTTTGTGATGCATACATATCGGTTATGGGGACTTCATTCTTCCACCAAATTGTGCTATCTTTTCCGCGAATTAGGTGTGATAAATAGTATTAAATCTATAATGTGGTCCGCCTGTAAACAAAATTTCATTAATATCCTAAATGGATATTAATGAAATTTCGTTTGCAGGCGGACGGCAGTCGTTTATAAGGGTGATTGAGTAACAAACTAATAAATTCGATTTTGATAGATAGATAGATAAATATAGACACATAATTTATTTTTACACAAACTTCATCACACAAATAACGACAAACAGAAATAAACATTTACAAAAACAGTGTAAAAAGAATACAAATACATACATAGAGTAAAATACATAAAAATTTAAACAGATTATTTTTTTTCTTCTTTCGCGTATGTGCCACAGTAACGCAAAATTTCCAAACTAAATAATTATAAAACTGTAAGTAGGTAGGCGTGTAATTATTTATGTAAAAATAGTAACGTTATTTTCATCGTTTCCATAAAAAACAGTTTTGTCAGATAATTTGAAAAGCACATTGTGTGCGGCATTGTTTATTTATGTAGCCCGAGCTTCAAGTACAATAATTCAATTTGTTCACTAATAATGAATCACTTCATGGTAGTTGAGACGGCGGCGGACTAGCACTATTCAATGGCCGCTAGGGCTGGCAAATTGCCGTTCCCGACTGCGTTGTAAAGGCTTTACTATTAGAATAAATAGACTAGGTAGAAGTGACACTTATATAGTTTCCTTTGTGAATGCGGCAATGCCACCAAAATGTAAGGTACATTTATCTTCAGACTCCGCATTGTCACAAATTTATTCGCATTTAATAAATAATTTTACGACATGACGCGTCTCACGTGATACACGTATAAATGAGCGAGACGCATGCTCTAACATGATGTCTGTTGTCCTGCCAGATTTATTCTATGAATGATAATCCTATTAATATTATAAATGTGAAAGTTAGTAAAGATGGATAGATAGATATTTGTTACTCTTTTACATAAAAAACTACCGAACGGATTTGAATGAAATTTAATATACGGGTCGGTTACATTTTAATTTAACATACCTATAGAATATTTTATATACAGATTTACGTGGGCGAAGCCGCAGGGTACATAATAAATGATATGAGTAACACAGCCTGCGCTATCAGATTACACTGGCAAGACACCATTGAGGGATGTTGTGTGAGGATGAGATCAGGGAGTCTACCATGAAATAAAATTACGAATTTACGGTCTCAATTTCGTGTTTTTGTTCTTATCGAAATCGGCACAATAAATGGAGCTTAACATTTCGTCCGTTATAAATCCTACCATAAGAATACGAATAAAAGTTATTTTAATTAATTTTTAATATTTTTAAACGGTATGTATTATGTAATTTTAATATAAAATTTTTGTTTCGTTTAGTCTCGAAATTTTGGAAAACATTTCATAATAGGCCCTCGGAATAGTTGGTCCATCGTGTTGAATTAACCACGACTATTTCCGGATGGAACAGCATGAAAGTAGACATTTGTGTTAGAGCTAAACTAAACCGTATTACTTACAATTACATTTTCCCTGTCTTAACAGCACAATAGAACACGGCTGTCAGTACCCCAACATAGGTACGATTATTGAATGCATGGGGGTGTCCTTTCAACCTGGATATTTATTTTTATAGCTTCACAAAGAGATTTCTCAAATAGCATCCACGTTAGAAAAGTGACTCGTGAAACGTATTCGGGAATTCGGCTTTGTAGTAATCGTGAAATATGTTTGCGACATGACCTCCGTTTTGTTAACATTTTTAGCGTGTTCCCTAACTGTGACATTGACCAAGTTTCAAGTATAGTTACGTAAAGCTTGCTGTAATAATATAATAAAAAGCTATATCATTTTTGTGTTTATCACATGTAAATTAATTTGTTTTAAATTATAAACACTTTTTGGTAGAACGTAATAAATGTAGAGTGTGATATGTAATCGCATAGACAGTTCTAGCAGAGAACGCCATTACATGATAACTCCGCCATATGTACACTTATTTATATAAACGTGCATTTAAGTTTAAATAAACAAACAGACGTATTCTTTCACATTGTTTAGATTATATTATTTTCTATAACTGTTTTTGTATAAGATTGAATACAGTATAATGGCATACTGTATAATGAATCTTAAACAATAACTAAGAGAATAAGACGTAAACAATGTGTGACTAGGTAGTGTTGTATTTATAGAGTCACATAGATTAGGGTTAGAATAATAATCTTTTATGTAACAGCGTATACAGAATTAGATTGAAATCCGTTAGTATCATTTTTAGGGAATATTTTACCACTCACATAAAAAAAATAACAAATCGAGCTTTTCATATTAATGATTCGATTAAATTGTTATATAGACGCACGTAACCTTTAGTAAACGTTTAAGATGTTTTGTTGTTAGAGATGGGCAATCCACCTGGGTGGGTTTAAAGTCTGGTGGGTAAAAACCGGGTGTTTTGGGTTTATTGGGTTTAAACCCCATAAACACCCAAATTTTTGGGTGTTTATGATTTTGTACTTCATCATCGTCATCTCAGCCGCAAGACGTCCACTATACTGGACATAGACAATATTATTATGCAGCCTACAGAATAAAAAACTTTTAATTTGATTTTGAGTTTATTAAGAAAGAGATGAAAGTAAAATGTAAAACTACAGTCAATCACTGTCAGATTCAGAGTTATTACAAGCGATGAATTGTATAGGTTCGATAGGCTCTATTTCGTCTAAACTGTTATGTTCATTTACTTGCTCAATGAAAGCTTCTAAGGTATTTTCTTCATTAAACTGAATGTCCTCGCATTCAGCTTTATGTTTAAGATTCCAGTTATAACAAATGAATGAAATTTTTTCAGTTCTTTCAGTTGTAAGTCGATTTCTTTTGTTATTATTTATGTAGCCTTGGATACTAAAGGAACGCTCAGTGGCTGCCGAAGTACAGGGAGCTGATAGAATACGAATCGCTACTTTGCTTAACTCAGTGGAACCACAAATACCTTTCCACCATATTAGGGGCTCAATGCTATCTAATGAGCTCCATACAAATCCTCTGGCCCAAAAGTTTTCTTTAGCTTTATAACACGCCAAATCTGCCATTACATTTGACAAACTTAAGTGTTGGCTTAAATTGTAGATAAACTCCATACCCTTAAGTTCTTCCTCTTGAGTAAGTTCGACTCCTAGAGTCCTGGGGTCTAGAATATATGCTGCAAAATGTATTGGCCTCATTGCCATATTGCATCTTGAAGATACTGATGTTAGAATCTGCTGTTTGCTTTCTTCGCTCAATGTCGAAATCTCATTTAATGCAAAACGTATCTTAGCTTGTACATCTCTAAATGTAATGTATGTGCGATGCAAACGATTCTGGTCGCTCTCTAAGTAAAATATGCTTTCAGTGACTGGTTCCAAAATACTTATACATTCCCCTGTCTTCGTCCAGAAATCATCACTTAGAATTAAATCTTTAATATCTCTTGAAATTACCACATCTTCTCTAACTGTTAATATTTGCAAAGCTATCTTATTTGCTTTCAAACTTTTTAACGAAGTAACATGACTTCCCCATCTTGTAGCACAAAGCAATTTTAGTGTTTGTGTAGAATCTTCACCCTGCCTTGATTTTATCAACAAGGAACTTAATCGTTGACTCCTTTTAACAGTTTTTATTATATTTATGGCTTGCATAATAAACACAGTTACTTCTTGTATCTTTACAATATCTTGGCACAACAAGTTAAGGATATGTGCACAGCAACCGAGAGGAACAACATGTGGATATTTGAGTTTTGTTAATTCGAATGCCTTTTGTATATTTCTAGCGTTATCGCCAATAAGTACAAGAAACTTATTTGCTCCATACACTTTCATTACTTTTTCAACTTCTTGGCTAAGGTATTCACTAGTGTGAGGATTACTTTCTGTATTCAAACTTTTAACGTATGCAGGTTGAGGTTTTGATATAAGAAAGTTTATTATTCCTTCATTTCTTAAATTAGACCAGCCATCGCACTGAAGGTGTAAGTAACTACAAGCATTTAGTTCCTCATTTAACTCAAAACGCATTTCTCTATATATTTTATCTAAGTATTTTGTCGCTAAAGCTTTACGTGAAGGTATTTTAAATTTTGGTTGCAATTTTTCGAAAAATTGTATCCATAAAGGATGTTGCACCATCGATAATGGCGTCCCTGTTACAAATATAGCTCTCGCTAATTCTGTTTTTATATGATCATCGGTGTCTTGAAACTCAGCATTTATTGTAGTGTTAGCAGACGACGAGGGGCTTATAAAAGAATCATTTGTCTCTATCTCTGACAGTCCAGACATTTTGGTTTTGGACGAGCTATCTTTTATAAGTTTCATAGAGTCTTTTAATGTTTCTGGAGATTTTGGACAAGTGATAAGATGTTGAAGCATTTTGGCAGCATTACTGAATTTGTAGACCTTATTACAAAGCTTGCAAGAAACAGACTTGTTTGGTAAAGTACGGTAGTGCTCCCATATGCGTAAATCTTTAGGTCTCCCCATTGAACCTAAAAAAATGAACGATGATTAGTTGGTCTGACGAAAATTCAACAATAGAGTGCCTATTTTTTTACAATGATTATTTCTTGTTATTTACAATAAATTTATTAAAAAAATAATAAAATAAATACAAAAAACCTTTGTAAAATTACATCTCCTCGGAGGATTAAACGCAGACGCTAGTTTATTATCGTATTGTTCTGTATTTTTCTCAGCAACTTCTTTAATTCCATTAGGTACTTACGCATATTATGTTAAAAATAAATATCTAGTACACATCTTAGGCTATCCACCATTATTATCCAATGACGACTCTCAGCTAACTATGCACTATCATCCAAAATAAACGTGTATGGAAAATTTTATCCCAGTCGGTTGAGGATTGAGGATAATTGCATCAACATACGAACATACCTACATACTTTTATTTACATAACGCAAGCTAAATAAAAGCTTGTAATAATACATCTAATTTTAAGTTAAAATTGTTAAGTGATCATGATATAATTGTATCATTCAAAAATCCACTTACCTTTAATTATTTCTTGTTAAGTATAAATATTATTTCAAATCTGCTCCCTTAATATGCACTTTTTTACTGCTTTTCCTACCTAACACGTTACCAGGAAGTCACGTTACCAGAGTCAGAGTAATAGTGAACACGTTTGACAGTGATTGTCGTCGCCTCATATTCAGCGTCGACGAATAGGGGAATCCCCAGTCATAATGTATTGCATGCGTGGCGGTCTTACTTCAAATCCATAAACAAAGAGATAATTACAGAACTCGATACTAGATGGCGCTGTTTTTGTTTGAAGAAAGTTTGCGGGCTAAAATACATAGAATTTCATCAATGACTTCCACAAAGAACAACATTTCTGTTTTTTCTAAGTCCGTATCTCTTCCGTATATTTCATAAGATATAAGCTTGGGCTACATTGTTATGCAACGTGATTTTGTCGCTGTCTTGCTAGCAGGGTTGACAGATATACGATTTAAATCGTACTCATACTATTATTTGTCTATTTTTTAATGTACGATCGTAAAGATTATGATCGTAATTCGCACAAAAACATACGACTTTTTGGTTACCTGGCAACATTTTTATTATGAAACGAACATGCTCACATCATCAGTCACATGCAACAATTTATTGGGGATTTCCCCTTCACATCTGGCAGTCCTGCTTGCTAGAATATAGGTAAGTCAGCCACAGTTACTGACGATCGATATTTAAAGGGTATTGTTTTTGTGCTAAATATTTCATAAAAACGTTATTTAATACTTTGTGGATTATTAATTTAGTTGATAATCACTGGAAGTAAAATGGATGCTAATTTGAGAGATCAAGATCTTCGTATAAAACAGTTAATAAAAGAAAATCTACGTAAGTACTCTTTTTATACCTAGGTAGGTAAGGTATAATAAACACAAAAGGTACTTAGATCGCGTGTGTTCGAAGCATTTATTCTAATAAATTTAATTTAAAATTGTAGAAAGAAAAAAATGTCTGCCAAGCCGTAGCCGAAGCCGATCTCCAAATATATTTGGCGATAGTGAGACCCAGTGTCCAGATGATTTACCCAGCGTCGTCGCAACAAAGAAAAAAACGAGGATAAAGTAAAAGAAAATTTACTGAAAGAAGAAACAAACTGTTCTAAATGCTTAATTTATGGAGAAGAGGATAAAAGAAATGAGTATTTCGGACTGTTAGTGGCTCAAGAATTTAAATATATACGGCCATGTGTGCGAACGAGGTGTTATGAAGAAATTTTAAAGTATCTACGGGAAGCAAAAGGCCAACATGTTGATCAACTGCAACATGAAAACACTGAAAATTAATTACTTTCATTTTATTATATATAGATTTTTAAAATTTCCTGAAATATTATTAGTTAACGTTTTATTTAATATTGTAGAATTGATCAATACAATTTATAAAAATAATTTATTGGTATTACTTACATATTTTCAAAAAAATACGTAAAAACCTATTTTTTTGGGTGATTATGGGAGTTTATGGGTGTTTATTGGGTTTTTACCAAAGCACCGGGTTTAAACCCGGTGCTTTGCCCATCTGTATTTGTTGTAGATGTTGTCAGTGATTTTGATGCTAAAAAATATAAATTTTATTGCTTGTGTTGCAAATTCTTATAGATGCTATAGTTTTTTTTTTTAGATTGAAAAGAAGTGTGTAAATATAATCAATATGCATTTTGATTTGGCAAAAAAGTGACATAATAAATTAACTAATATTTATTTTTATGTAAAATGTAGTTATAATAATATTAGTTGTGTATTTTATTTGTGTCTGTATAGTCAATATAGTCTTTCATATTTTTATTTTTACAACTTATGAAGGAGGTTTATGCTACCACAATTTATAAGAGGTATTTATACAATTTAAATGTTATATTTTGCCGCGATCTTACAATTTAACAAAAATAAAAAATTACATGACAGCAATATATGGTGAAGAAAAATTAACTTATTATAAAATACTCTTGTTATAAAATAAAATGTCTGTGTCGGTATCATGAAGTCGCATTTCAAAGCCTATTTATTGAAGTTCTATCTTCAATAATCTCGATTGAAGTGAAATCAGGAAAATATTTAAAAAGGAAAAATCCTATCTCAGAACACGAACGAAAAGATCTAATATGCTTTATATTATTGCTACGCAAAAGTATTTCATCTTCGAACATTTCACGAACTTCTGCACAATAAGACGATAAGCGTTTGTATTGATTTTTATTAATACTAGCGACTTAGCAATTCGGTGCTGAGGCTTTGGATTGGCGATCAATCTATTAATGTCACAACATAAAGAATGAAAGATACGCTTGTTGGCCATTCTTAAGCTTTAAATGAGTAAATAGAATAATATTCTCACGACTACAATATGTAATGGGATAGTTAGAGGCAATTGTCATGCCCAACAGTGATCCGAATATATTATGGTTTCTTAACCTAGGAGTCGCGACCCTTGGAGGGGGCGCGTTTGTTTTTTATCAGGTACGCCATCAGTTTGTGCATTCAGTGTCACGTATAAAACAAAGAAACAAATTTTCTTTTTATGTCTTTACTTTCTCGATGTACACTCACTAGAGTTTAACATAGCAAAGTGACTTTTGTTTATGAGTAATATTGTCTCAAGAAAACAAGATTCGTTACTTGTAAATCCAAGGTCTGCGTGATAATAATATTTGAAACCAATTGAAACTTAACTTTCCAGACAAGGAGAAAGTTTAGAATCTTAATTTTATTATGCGATTTAATTATTTATTCTGTCTCTGCCGATAAATAGTCGGTTGTTGTAACAATAATTATGTTGATTTATTTTATACATAAGTAATTTTCTTAAAGTTCTCTTTGTTGTTCTCTTGTTTGAAACTAAACCAATATAACAATTTTCAGCGAATAATCATTAATTGGAAACAACTTGAACAAAGCCACAGATAATGAAGCCTAATCAGAAAACGGTTTTAACTTTTCAAAAAGGATTCTCAATTCTTGTGATTTTAACGTATCTTTATTACGCAATTAGGTCACCAACTTTTAACTGATTATCACTATTGTTTCTTTAATCAATAGTGTTTGCTCTCTTATTAGTTTCAAATGATTAATATATGAATAAGAGAATTTAGAACTATACGTTACATTTAAATTTGCTAAACAAACACACACAAAAAATACAAGTGTATTGAGTTTTAGGAAAACGTTTAAAAATTGTTTTCATGTTATTTGCCGGAAGATTTACGGTTAATTAGTTTCCAGTGAGTTAGACATGGTTACAATTCGGGTGCATGAGTGAACTCTAGCGTACTTTGTACTAATTAATTACAATGTTAGTGTGAACACCGCTGAATGTGTCTCTCGGGACGAGTTAGAAACCCGAGCCCTTAAGTTATGGTACGCGGCTTTACGGAATTGCAAATCATTTAGTAGTATAGAATTTAGTTCGGCCCTATGCGTCATAAATTAATTATCACTATTTCATTTCACTCGTGTTAGTGTTGCCCTCTAGTGTTTAAAGTTATTAGGTCGCCTTTTCTACATGAAGGCTTCTGTTGTTGTTTACCAGATGAAACACAAAATAAATGATGATTTTTTTTGTTTTATGCAACATACATTGACAAAAAAGCTGACGATTCACCTGCTGGAAAGTGATAACCGTCACCAATAGATATGAACATTATTATGAATATAAGAAAACATAATGTGAAATCTACGATACACTGTTCATGCAATGTGCTGTCGTTTTATTTATTTTTAACTTATTCATATATGAATTTGAAAATTCTGCTTCAATCCTGAGGATCCTCGGAATACAATCAAGCGTCTACTCGGAATATAAATAGCGTTTAATAAAAAAAGAGATTTTTAAGAGATTAAATACTGTTTTTTCTCATATACTACATAGTATCTATATTTATATACACAATATATATATATATATATATATATATATATATATATATATATATATATATATATATATATATATAAATTTGTGTGAAATTTAAGAAAAATCTATGTATTATATTTTCTATGTATTATATATATAAATACCGGGCCAATAAATGAACAAACTCAACGTCGTGGGAAGAGCAGCCAATTATAAAATTTAATCTTATCTTATCATTTAATCACTAATCTTCATAATTGGTTTTATCTAAGTAAAACATTTATTACTTTACTATAGTTATAAATTTGAAATTGAGTTAGTAACCCTTGGCATCTATATTTCATAATGAATTGTCATGAAATTTAACATAGTACACTAGTTGTATGTTATATGACGTAAAAATTAGTAGGTACGTAATGATTAGGGGATGGGCAGCAGCGACCCTTTTTAAATATCAACAAAAGCTTAACTACTATTGACAAAACCCCCTTATGGAGAAGACTTATGTACAGCAGTGGGCAATTAACGGACTGATATGATAATGATGATTTGCCGTGTGGTCCCGGCATAGAATAGGCCACCCCTTTTTTTCCTGTAAATGTCGTAAGTCGCTACTAAGGGAGAGTGAGGATGAGCAGCAACGTTCCTCTTAAAACATCTTTAAAGCCTAACTGCGGTTGCCAATCTGCCTGCCAAGCGTGACAACTACTGGCAAAACCCTCCAAGGGGGAGGCTTATGTTCAGCAGTGGTTGGTTAAAGGCTGATATGGTGATGATGATGATGATGATGATAGTGTCATTATAAATTAATTATATGGCAGTACAATATCTTAATTCTCAGGATTGGCGACGCGTGAGGATACCATTTTCCATCGGGTAGGCTGATAACCATGTCACGTTAGCTTATGTACCATTCTATATTCAATATGTGTCATTCTAATTTAAAAAGAATTATGAATAAAGTTAGGAAATTATTTAATTTTAATAGTTTGCAAGTCATATAATTGTACAATCTGCATACATTATATTAGCATGCAATTTTAAATGTTCTATTGGTACCGGGCAAAAATATACGCCAAAGATCGTCTTCTATCTCGTGTATACGGTAGAACTTTCTTTGTATTATACAGTAAGCCCGGCCTAGTGTAGGGAAATTTTTCCTTATGCATTTTTACTTAATCCGGGATAAGATTAAAGGTCAACATAAATATTTTAATGTTATGTTTCTCCGGATCCCACTGAAGTTATTGTGTGTAACTTACTTCAATATCAGATGCCAGCGTCGCTAGATCCGATGTTTGTTCGAAATTATTTAGTAAATCTTTGTTTCTTAGAGAAATTTTGAGAAATTGATTGAAAAATAAAATCACTGTGAATCGCTAAAGTATCAGAGGAGCTTAGAAAGCGGCGGATTTTCTACTTCTGTCACTCCTAATAGTGTTTACTTGGTAACGCTACAAGAATAGTAAAACTCAGGGAATACGGATTAAAATTTATGAGTACGTAAAAGTAAAGGAAATATATATTCTCCATACCTTAAAACCTAGATTGTCGTATACAGCACGGTTCCAGAGATGTTTAATCCCACATACGCTTAGGTTATGAAACGAGCTCCCTTTCGAGATTTTTCCAAGACACGAAGAAGAGCTTGGGCTATTCAAAAATGGAGTAAAGAGGTTTCTTCTGGGTCAGCAATGCGTGTGTAAGATATTTTTTAAAAATTATATTAATTTTCGTAAACATCTTGTGTCAAAATGTGTACCTACATTTATTAATAAAAATCAGAGTAACTACTATAAAAATAATAAAATTGTTAATATATCAAATATTGCAATATATTATTCTTATAGTGTATATAAAACATTATTTTTTTTGTAATTGATTTTATAATTATTTATTATCATGATACTTGAATAAAAAGTAATGAAATTGTAAGAACACCTGGTTTCGCTGACTTGTTTATTCGAATTCGGCCCTGTAGATATAACAAATTGTTATTTGGGTGGGGAGGCACTTCTTGTCCAACCGTTGAACAGAGCGGAGCCTGCCTGACGTATCAAGTATGAACAATTATAGTAAACTGCGTGATTATTATAGATATATAAAATATATTAAAATAATATTATATTGAAGTAAAGACATAAAATACAAAATTGGGCAGAAATAAAGATTCGCATTTGGCAACGCTGTCAGATGCGCATTTTACAAGAGATGGTGTAAAATAATATTCTCATAGGAGAAACACGAGCGTTGTTTCTATGTAAGGGTCTTTTACATTAAATTACGCCATTTTGCAAGATTCATGCTCGCGAGATTGTTTATTTTGTAACGCCTACTTACTTATACAAGGAAGTAAGATATGTACATTTAGGTGTTCCGTTCACTTGGGAAATAATGAATTATGTAGTTTTACCTTTCTTATCTAACTTCCGAAAAAAGGAAGGTAAGTTTCACCAAAAAAATACGTTGTGCAAACATGGTCTGCGTGGGTATCGCTGCCCCAATTATGCTCCTGCTAATGACATGAATATATTTTGGTTTAAAGGGAGATACAGTTCAATATAGTATAGTTATAGAGCTGCAATATAGATCCAATTAATAATTAGTTTCTCTTTTTTACTTGTATTATTTACTTTATAAATAATAAGTCTCCAGGGTACCCTGCCAGTTGCAAGTGACCTCAAAGAAATTTTTTAACTTAAGTTAATATTTTAGATCTTGTTATCAATATAATATAGTTCTTAGATGTAAGGCGTATATATAATATGAAATAAACATAAACACTATTACTTATACTGTGCGTAAACGGTTAAGTTTATTTATACTTCACTGTTTTATTTCTCCTCTTCCCTTTCCGTGGATGTCTCTAGAAATTACTAAGGGAACTTAGTAACCAGCAGAGTCCCTCTTTAACCATTACCAAAGCTTAACTACGGTTGCCAAACTGCCTGTAAAACGTGGCAACTACTGGTAAAACCCGCCTTTATAGGGGAGGCCTATGTTTAGCAGTAGACAGTTAACAGCTGATGAAGGGTTAGTTAATCCTTAATCAAATATATATAGGCAAATTTTGTTATGTTTTACTATGTTTGTTATTTCCGATAATTATTTCCATCCGGAAGCCTTCTTTAGGGGGTGTACGGCGCTTTACGTCACGGCGTTTCGACTCATTTCCCATTTTATACATATATGTAGACATTGCTAAAAAAATTACATAGGTTATAAAAAATAATAAGGATTAATTTACTGTCATGTTACTGAAGCTACCACCATCGAGATATTATAGATGCGTTGTTTTGAAGGACGTATTTAGAGACATAGATTTTATAACCACAAATTTTCGACTAGAAACCCGAGACGGTATTCTCTTTCAATGAATATTTATGAAAGATATTTGATGAATCGGGCTGCTAGAGCCAACTAAAATAATGTATGTCAATAATCAATTTTCTAGGAATTCAGCTTTTCATCGAAATAGGATACTAGTCTAGACCAGTCTAAAACGTTATTTATTCAACTATGGTGTGTAATCGATAACGGATATAATACCTATGTAATAGAGTACAAAATTCAGAATTTATGGAAAGAAATTTCTAATTTGAATTTAAACGCACAAATAAATACTAAATATACAATTACAACATATATATATATATATATATATATATTATGAACATTAAAAATGTTCATAATAATTGAACTATAAAAGTTAATTTAAAATAATCTGTCATTATTTTAAAATTCGTATTACTAGCTTTTATCGCGACTTTGTCCGCGTGACCGGAATATGTCCATTGACTGGAATGAAGATTAACCTATGTCATTCTCCATGCTATATAATATCAGTCCTTGACGGTCCACTACTGAACATAAGCCTCCCCTTGGCGGGGTACCAAACGTGCTCCAGTAGTTTCCACGTTAGCTAGGCAGATTGGCAATTGCAGTTAGGCTTTAAAGAGGCTTCTAAGAGGAACGCTGCTGCCCATCTCTCACCCTTCCTTAGTCGCCTCTTACGACACCCACTAGAAAGGAAGGGGTGGCCTATTCTATGCCGGGATTGATATATTCTTTTCAATATAATATTTACACTTATATCAGATTTTATTACGATTAAGAAACTCACTTTCATGTTTGTAATATAATATTACCTAATAAAGATAGGCAGGTTTATCATACACATTACAAAACTTCACTCATTTTGCTTATAAATGATACCTATTTATATTGCGTAAAAGTTGATACAAACTTTAAATAAGGTCTTGGAAAAAGTTGCTTTCCTTATTTGGAGCAAATTAAATTGGAAAAACTTCAGGGACGAATAGATTTTTTTCTCTTGTTGCGGACTGCGGCTGTGGAGGGTCTGAATGTAGTACACTTGATACTACAGTTAGCCTAATCGTAGAATTACTTAAGGCCTAATAATAATCTAGAACGTGCTATGAAAATAGTACTAATTCAATAAACATACTACTTTATAAAATATTCAGATGTTTGGTTGTATAGATGTTTGTATGTTACTCAATCACACTTAAACGGCTGAACGCATTTAAATGGAATTTGGTATACGAGTTAGTTGTACTGTAACTTAATACACAGGATACTTTATATATTAAGTTACCCGGGCAAAGTCCGCGGGAAATAATTAGTCATTATTAATTATAATTACTAATTATTTTCCAAAGAGGATTGACGTCAGGCAGGTGACCAGTCATAAAACTAAAAGCCAAATCTTTTTGTAATATGAATAAAAACATATTACGCCGACCTCAAATAATAATTGGGATAAGGGTAGGAAGATGATGATGAATGACTTATTATCAATGTAATATTATTAACTAATGTAATTACATAATATTTAAATTAATAAATGTATTTATTAATATATATTATAATAATACATTTATTATTATATATTATTTAGTGAATAGGAACATTTTTACTAAAGAAACATGCTTTTAAAACAACGACAAATGTTAAATTTCCCGTACTAATGTGGCACACGCAGTTTTTAAATGAGTAAGGAAGGTTCAAGATTTTTTCGTGTTTTGTTCTGACAAATATTTCGTATGAATAATTCTTAAAAGGATAGTAATGATTACGTATATACCCTATAAATTTATGGATGTTCACGCATTTTATTAAATATGTAAATTATATTTTGTTCGTAGCGTGCATCTGGGATGAGATGCCGATCATCCAGTCCTGTTGCTGTTGGCGAAGCCTGCGGCGAGGATGCTACGCTTCAGCACTCTACACCATGGTATATATTTCAATTCTGATATTCAATTTGTACCTTGATCCAATATTGATGAAAATGTCATTAAAACGTAAAATTCAATCCTGAACCCTTAATAAAATTGGATGCCCCAAAATTTTAAAATTCACCGCCATCTAGTGCAAAAATATAATGATTTGTTCTCGTTCATTTTTATTATTAATTTGCAATTTTAAGCATGATTGCGTAACAAACATCCGTACATTTAGACATTAGAAATATTTACAAAGTTTTTCATATAATTATTAAAATAGTGGCTGTCATAGCGACGTTTGCAACAAGTTCTTTATGAGAGTACACTGTTATTCACATTGTGGATGTTGTCAAATTGCATCTAGTTCATAGTCACCTACTTTACAGACGAGCCCTTCGGTGACGTAACCATGAACATATCGGAATAATTGGCAATCAAACTACACACACTGTTATTGTATCTGTAAATAGATAGATATGATGCGATATATACCAAATTTACGCAATAAATTTACATTATAGTGGCGTAGCAATGTCACACTTATTGCTCTAGCTATGCTCCTACTTAGAAACGTATTCTTCTGAAAAATAAAAGTTAGCAAGTAAATGTAAATAAATTTAAATGAATTTGTTTAAGTAGTACGACTTAAGTCGTCCTACTTCAAAAGTTAATCTTTTATTACAGAAGAGTATCTAACATCTGTTTATGTCCAAACAAAACAAAGTCAGTAAAAGGTTTATTACTAACATAGACCTTTAAAATAATAAATTTTAAATTAATAATCTATAAATTTTGACATATAAAATTACAAATAAACATGATTACACCGATTAAATAGTATTTAGTCACTCAGATAAAGTTTTGTTAAACATTCTATAGATAAACAATGTTTTATATATTTTCTTGTGGTACAACCAAAAAAAGTTTAGTAATCGTCACAGTTTCTAATAAGGTTAGTACCTGCCTGTAAGATGTAGTCTTACTAATATTATAAACTAGCTAATGCCCGCGACTTTGTCCGCGTGGTATTTGTTATTCCTGTTTAGTATGTATTGATGTATGTACCTACCTATTTATTATGTCTGGGAATATTGTACCAAAATTAAGAAATGACGTGTCGTTCTCACTCTTTGCCTTAGGTCAAAATTACTTAAGTAGGTTGTGTATTAAGTTGTACAAATATACGAACAACGGCCCAAATGAGAGGCTAAGCGCGGAAAAGAGAGTCCAATTTACAAGCTGTATAAATTACTATAGTTTTTTAATTATCCCACGGGAACTCTAATTTTCTGTGATAAAAGTATCTAAAACGTTAACTGGGGATGTAAGGTACTACCATGCAAAATTGCATTTAAATTGATCCAACAGTTTCTGAGATTAGCCCGTACACAGATACACAGACAGAGAAACAAAAATTTTTACAAAAGTGTGGAAGTGTTCTGTTTCACTTTAAACATCCTCCTAACTCGGTTTTTAATATATTTTTATGTACAGGGATTCGATCTTTACAATTTTATAATATGTATAGATTTTATTTTGTAATGATAGATGGATGTCACGCATAATCTACTGAAAGGATTGGAATAAAGATTAGATTATATCCTACCTTAGTATATAGGCAGTTTTGTATACTGATTCACGCGGGTGGAATCGCGAAATAGAGCTCGTTTAGAATAGTCGTTTAATAAGTAATCAGATAACGTATAAAAGTGTTTATTAATAAATATAGTACCGATACAGTTGAACTTTTTTCGTTACGTATGTTCTTCTCTACAAATCTGTCCGATTCTAGAATAAGGGCATACGGGTATGCGACCCCGGCCTTTCGAGCCGCTGCAGTGTCCCAGCCCTTTCCGCAACTACAGTGCCCCCCCCCTTCCTTTCCCACATAAGTCCCTTATTCCTCTCATTCACCAATTTCCTTTACGCATTTCCAACGTTCCCTTCCTTTTTTCCTCAATCCGTAGGTGGCGGAAACCACCAACAAATGCATTCCTAAAGAGGGTTGACGTCAGGCTGGTGGCGGTCGTCAAACTAAAAACCAAATCTTTATGTAATATGGATAAAATCACATTACGCCGACCCTAAATGATTGGGATAAGGGTAGGATGATGATGATAGATGAAGATGATGATAATGATGAAGATGATGATAGTTGAACTTTTCTCAAGAGACTACAGCATGGGATTTTTCATAAAAGGGGTAATAAGGTTTCTTCATGGTCAACAAAGCGCTCGTAATACTTCTGGTATTGTAGTCGTTCATAGACTACTGTAACTGCTTACCATCAGGTCCGTCGTATGTTTGTTTGCCACTTCCCAGTGGAATAAATAAAATATGGGCAACTGAAAATATGCAGTATTATAAATTACATCCACTTACAATTTATTATGTTGATTACAGGAATATTTTTACTATATCCTTACTATTATTATTAATAAGAAAGAAAGTTTGTTCGTTTGTTACCTCTCGGCGCCTTAACGGCTTAATCAATCACTATGAAATTTCATATACATACATGTACCACAAGGGGTGGAGAAGGAAATAAATACGCCACATTTTATCCCAGTTAGTGAACGTATTCTGGCGAGAACAAAGTCGCGGGTAAAAGTTAGTTGTTATAATTTTCTACTCTTTACCCACGACTTCGTTCATGAGACCTAATTGACTGACCGAGATAAAAGTAGCCCACGTTCTTCACCATTCTTAATGATTGTGTGTATGCGAAACGTGACGATTACTCGCCAAGAGAAACCAAACAAACAAACTCCATATATCTCAATATATATCTAAATGCGTCGTGCGACACACTGTTCAGTCACGTTAATCTCCGAAACCTCGGAACCGAACAATGTAAACTAATAGAATTTTGCAAATGAGTATTGTTTCGTTTCAATTTATTTGATAAAATAGTTTTATCCTGGTAATAAAATAGGTCTGGTAGTAGATGACACAACTGGAGAAGGATATAGGCTACTTTTTATGTTAATCGGTGATCATATGCCTGTTGTGCGGACGAGCAAAGTCGAGAGTAAAAGCTAGTATATGATAATCAAAATTTTAACCAATATTATATCATCTGAATAATTAAATAAATAAATAAATAGCGAATACAATTATCTCACCTTTCTTTAATTAACTGCATAAAAATAAACATAATGGAATGCCCAAATAAAATTTACAAATTCCGCGCAATTATAAAACATGGGTTTCAGTAATAACAAGCGGGTCACCTTTTGACAAATTTACCTTTATAACTTTTTAAGTGACGAATTAATTTGAAAGCTAATATGTAAGAAATGAATCTACATATTCATTCAGAACGAAATGGAAAAGCTTCGTGGCCACGAGCACGGGTGACCTTCGCGTAACGACGTATTATGTAGATATATACAAGAGTTACTGTAACCCAGGCTTTCTTCTGTGGTGCGGATAAATTTAGAACCAAGGGCGAAACTGACTAATTGCATGGTTAAAAAATATCATGTTAAGTACTTGCGAAGAATTTTACTTCATTACTATTACGAATAACTGTTTTAGTAACGTATTATCGGGTTCTTAAGCTAGATATATTATATACTCTGTAGAGACAAGTAAATTAAATTGTCGTAGGATTGAACACAGTGTTAATTAAACCTTTAAATGTTTAGATGTTTGTTTTAGAAAAAAATCACTTTTACATTTATATTATTAATAAGAATAAACATTTTAAAGAAAATCCTAGAATATATTATGTATTTTTGATGTTCATATATCATACATATGTCTGTTGTAGGTATACTTCTCAGTGACCATAGTGACCATGGGTCACTTCATAGAAATGGAGCAGCGCTACCTGAACGGAATGATGACGGAGCCAGAATCGGAAAGTTTCCTGGAACCGGGTAAAATAACACCCAGTAAGTAATAATATAACCATAAGTGCCAAAATTTCAAAGACAGACGAAATGACGCGAAGCCTATCCCTTTACGCTATTTGTCTATCTCGGAAATTTTATGACTAAATTTATATCAATCAATGGTCTTTTTTATCATTAGAGTTCTATACCCGAAATGGTACAAAAGAACCCTTATGGTATGATTTTTTCAGTCATCTGTCCTTTTCTCACAGTCCACTATATTTTAAATACAATATAAACAAATGCCATAAGGATTCTTGCTAGGCTGTGAATATTTCATGTGTAACAAGTGAGATTTCATATGCTATGCGAAATTGTACATTACCTTAGTTACATAAATTTATATAAACTGTTATAATTTGCTAGTCTGTACATTCGGATTTATTCGTGAATCATCAGCTGCGCTCGGTTAGCAATGAAGTAAAATGAACGAAATCGCAGCAGACGACCTACTCGGCCGTGCAGTGCGAGCAATTAGACACTTTATTACCTATACTGCGCTAAAGTCTCCATTCTCTCATTCTTATCATGTATCATAAAATCATAATTCATATTTCACTTTCATTTGCAAATAGCAGCTAATGCGATATTAAGTTAATGCAAGCGAAAATCACAAACCACATCGATCATTTTCACAAGTGTTATAAAATATTTATACTGTGAATAAAAGTAATATTTTTTAAAATGTCATAGATTTAATTATTCCAATAATTTCCATGCCTATATTTTTAAATCATAATTTTATTACAGTATAGTACTTTAAGGTAATATTTATGGTAATTATCTTTTGCCGTAACTACGTTAACATCAAAGCTGCGATATTTTAATTTTAAATTAGTAATAACTAGATGTACCTATTTATAGAATTTTAAAAATAAATATTTCATTTCTGATATTGTTTATCTACATGGTCTCATAACAAGATTTGTTTTTTTTTTAACTCACCTGTCAGAATAAATCGTCTCCATGAGTGAACACTTAGTCAAAAAATTGTTAGTTTGGTTAAAAACCGACGCCAACTCATACCCATATTTCTCTATAGATTATCTGTTTATTGCTTTAAATATTTACTTTTTATAATATATTCATGTTTTGTCTATGTTGTGAAAAATCAGACAATAAGTAAATATTTACGGAGGCAGTTGATTCTGGGAGTTAAAAACTCAGCTGTACACGAATCATAATAAGATTTACTTTGTATAACTCGCCGCTGTAATTGTACCAGTCCAATAATGTTACGTCCCCAGTGCCTCCTAATCCTTAAAATAGACGGGTTATGTAAAGCAAATTATGATTATTCATGAAAGATGACCACCCCGGTATTTAAATTGATACAAATTTTTGGCCTCAGTTAATTTTGAGGTCATGACCAGTAAGTCACAGTCATAGATATTTAAATACAGAAGATGGATAACATTGAGCATTTTTTGTGGGGACCGGAAGTCACCGCTTATTTGTCACACGACAGATGTCAACTTGACATAATCCTTCAGCCTTTAGATAATATTGACATTAATCTACATTGGATACAATTGCCCGCGCAATTGTAATTACTATAAAATACAGATTAATATGATCATTTATTATATTCCCAAAATACTTCTTTATTAATATCATGAAGTTTAGGTAAGCTTTAAGAAAAAGTTTAGATTTTAATGTTTAAAAATTTCACTCGAGGTAAAATATCGATAAATATATTCAACGCTATGATGACAGTCAATAAACTCGGTATTAGAACAATTTTTACATTTAAATATGGATTAGTTTTAAAAATAATAAATAAATAGAGTCTAAAGTAATATTTTGAATTTAATGGTGATATCGAATTCTTTGATTTAAAGCTTTGTGTAATAATAAATTAACGCACATTTTAACAGAAATGTGTAGCTTCTTAGACTGTGTGTGCAAAAGTGCATTTTTACATGCAGTCATCTCACTCTTCACTTATTTCCTGGCCTTGTCGTCTTTTATATAGTCTTTCTATCATTTTCTGGGTTTTCTTCTGCACTCATTAATTCTTTTCACATTCTTTTCTTCTCTGTGCATTACATGCCTATAACACAAATGATTGCTTCTATACTTCTTTATTACTGTCTCTTGTTTTTACTTTTAAAATTCTTTTTATATACTCATTCCGGGACGTATTTCCGTTACTATCCCGTTAAAGGCTGTTAAACACAATGGTGACCATTTCGAATAGAATATTTTTTTTTTTTTTGCTGAGACTTTAATAAATATATAGGTATAAATTTTAGTAATATTACATTACTTCATTAACAAAAAAAAATGCATTTTCATTTATAACAGAATTTATGGCTGGACTAGGTATATAAAGTCGTACAGTAGAGAAGTGTATTTTACTGTAGAGTAGTGTCTCTATTGTAAAGTAGCTACAGTATAAATCCAGTTCCGTTGGTTATTCAGCCGAGTTAAAATTCAAGCTAACGCTACGGTATAGGGCATTCCACTTCGCCATGTCATACCGAGAATTTATATAGCTCTTTCAACAGAATACGACCTTTGGTATTTTCGTATTTTTCATAATAAATCATAGCCTCATATTATTTACTCTTATAAAAGTTCCATAATAGCTAATATGTATCCCACTATTGGGCGTGGGACTATTTTTTTTAATTTTATTTTTTATATAACTTAGAATGGCAAACAAGCTGACGGCCCACCTGATGGAAAGTGGTAACCGTCGCCTATAGACATGAGCAGTACCATGGATATAACAGAGTATACTGTTTCGCCCATGATACCCCCCATGCGTTGCCATTCCTGAGGACTCAGGTGTTATTCCTCTGTACTCAGTAAATTCACGCTGATTTTCAGTAAATTCACCCGAGGATTTTAGTCTCTAATCACTATACTGGTTACGCTGATAGTATACAATTTATTTGTAATTTTTTTTTGAATTGGTGTATACTGCTATGCTCCCTTGGTTGTTTCTTACTACATTTGAAAATTCTATTAATATTATCAATTGGAAAGTTTGTAAGAATTATTCATTCAATGTCTGTTACTCTTTTGCGCAAAAACTACCGAACGGATTTGAAAGTAATTTGGTGTACAGGTTAATTATATCCTAATTTAGCACATTATCATCATCGTTATCATATCAACTTTTCACTGTCTACTGCTGAATATAAATACCTCCCCTAGGGGATGGGAGTGGAGGGGGGGAGGGTTGTTGTCACGCTTGGTCGGCGGATTGGCAAAGGCAGTTAGACTTTAGAGATTTTTTAAGAGGGACACTGCTGCTCATCCCTCGCTCGTGGGTGTTATGAGAGGCAAATAAGGAAACTCGCCTCTTATGACTCCCACGGGAAAGTAAGGCCTATTCTATACCGGGACCACACGCGAAAACTTCACACATGGGATACCTTTTATATATATATATAATATCAGTCACGTGTTGTGTAGTCGATTAATTTTTTCATAATTTTTTTTTATTCGGTTTTTAGTCATTTCAATTGTTTATTTCGATAAAAAGTAATTTTATGCTTATATTAATTTTACGCGCATATTAAACACTACTTATACGATTAGATAGCTATTACGATACAAATTTGTAATTAGTCGAAGTGATATGGTAATAAGGCTATAATTTTGTATAATTAGCATACTTACAGTAAACGTTTCTGAACAACAGACCGGCCCCCACACTCACCCCTTTTAACCGATGAATCGCCCCTCTTTAATTACTCTTGAGGTATATAATACACAAACTTTAATTCATTCTTTGAACTAAGTTTATATCTTTAAATTCTTCCAAGCAACTTTAACGTTAGTAGAATCCGCAAAGTAAAATTTTCAAATATCTCGGAAATTGGTTTTAGGCTTAGTTTGAATGGTGATTATTCCTTTAACTTAACGTCCTTTGAAGATTTGACATAGTCGTAAAGTACTAAACGCTCAATATTATTTTCAACGTATATGCATAGATGTAGTTATTAGATTAATAACACATAGATAGTGTCTCTCTACAATTACTACACTAAATATAGTTCTACTCTTTTTATGCTTGTGTAAGTAAGTTTTGCATCATGAATACATATAGGTTTACGATCTATATGTGCGTGAAAGGGATAATGACATATTATTACATCCAACGCTTCATCTAAACGTATATAATCTATAGCACACCTTTTTTTGCGATATATAAGTACAAATAATCAGTTCATCCCTTTGGGAGCTACGTTGTTACAGACAGATACATACGTTAAATTTACAGTGGCCCTTATTTTGTATTTAGGATTAAAATTCATGTTAAAAATATCACGTGTAAATTTACCTATATAAGTACATTCCTCCGATCCCTTTTTCTACCGTAAAGTAGCTGTATTTGCATGACTGTTTCGTTTGAAGGGTGGAATGATATGAAATATGACAATGATATTACAGGGTACGTAGGTAAGTATAACACCATCGGAATGGTAAAACAGGAAGAGTACGTACCATAGATATCATGGTGTAGTATTTAATGTTCCTGGTGCAGTTCAATTGTTTACGTTGATAGACAAAACTCGCCATTTTCGATCAAGTGGGTGACGGCCCATTTGTTTGCCATTCTAAGTATCATAAAAATATATTTGGTATAAATGCTTAAGAAAATGCATATAAAACACAATATCATATATTTGTGTTAGTAAAAGTTACATGCGCTAACAGTTTACACTGGCGGGGTGATAGGTGAGAATGAAAAGGCAGGTCAGTTAGCCCATCTTGATGAACACACCAGGGATTCAGTACCATGGTTTCCAGGGGAGACCACCTGGAGGTCGACCTCATGGGACATATTGCTAGCAATGGTACTGATAGTCCGCTGATTACTAACAATCTCTTCCCCCCCCCCCCAAACGTAAATGGTATATTTGGTGACAACACAGTATTAATGTAGTTTAGCCACTCAAATCCTTTTCAAATCCTATTTGATACGAATTAGGTTTAATCGTATTGATATGCGATCAAAACAACGTCATTTCGAATCCATTACA